CTCCGTAAATGCTCACAGCCCAGACTTAACATCAAGTTCAAGGTCAGGAAATATGCTGGAAGAAAGAGCAAATAAACAAAAAGAATCCTACCACAAAAAGCTATTACGGTGACAGAGATGCTGAGGACACAAATCCAGAAGAAGAGAATAATAACTCCCAAACATCTAAAAGCAAAATGTCAAAGAAAAACATAGCTCAGGCACAAATCCAATTAGAATTCCTGGAAGAAATGAAACAAGGGTTTTAAAAAAGAGTTAAAAATCTTTATAATGAAACAAGAATGTTAGATCAAAAAAATAGAAAAGAAATGAGAACTATGAAAAAAAAAGAATTGGAAAGATAATTAACAGCTTGGTACAAGAGGTACAAAATCTTGCCTAAGAAAATAGCTCCCTGAGAATTAGAATGGACCAAAAAGAAGCCAATTATTCTAGGATACAACAGGAACTGTTTTTTTTTAAATCAAAGGATTGAAAAAATAGAAGAAAATGAAAGGTATCTCACAGCTAAAACAACTGACCTGGAAAACAGATTAAGGAGAAAATTTTAAGAATTATTGTACTACCTGAACACTATGACCAAAAAAAGAGCCTAGGCATCATAGACATCAATTTTAAGAAATTTTGAAAGAAAACTGCCTGAATTACTGCTCTGGTTTTAAGGAACCAGAGGACAAAACGGAAATAGAAAGAATACACTGGTCATCTCTTGGAAGAAATCACAAAATGAAAACTCCTAGGAATATTATAGCCAAAATGCAGAGTTTCTAGGTCAAAGGAAAAAAACAAAACAAAACACTGCAAGCATCCAAAAAAAAAGTGCCAAGGAGCTATCATCAGGATTACTCATGATTTAGCAGCCACTCTTATAAAGAAGTGGTGAGCTTAGAATATGATATTTGAGAAGGCAAAGGATCTAGGTGTACAACCAAGAATAACTTCCCCAGAAAAAAATCAGTATAATCCTTTCAGTCATTTTCAGACTCTTCATGACCCCATTTGGGGTTTTCTTGGCAAAAATGCTGGAGTGGTTTACAATTTCCTTTTCCAGCTCATTTTGCAGATGAGGAAACAGGCAAATATGGTTAATGACTTGCCCAGGGTTATACAGCTAAGTGAAGCTGAATTTGAACTCACGAAGATGATTCTTCTTGACACCCAACCCAGTGCTCTATTCACTACACAACCTAGCTGTCCCTGTGAGTATAATATTATAGGGAAGGAAAATGGATCTTCAATGAAATAAAGCATTTTCAAGAATTCCTAATGAAAAGACCAGAGCTGTGTAGAACTTCGAAGTTCAAATACAGGGGTAAGAGAAATATAAAAAGGTAAGCATGAATAATGATAAAGGAGTAAAAGGATAAACTACTTACATTCAAATATGGGAAGATAATACATGTGACTCCTCTGATCTCTATTATCACCAGAGGTCATAGAGGAAGTCTAATTAGCAAAGCCTGAAACTGATTCTCTTATGGCTAGGTGATAAGAGAAAATAAAAAGAGAAGAAAAAAAGAATATACTGGGGTAAGGGGAGGAGGGAAAGAAAGTTTAGGGGGAATTACTTCACATAATCAGGGTGTACAAGTAGACATCTATACAAAGAGGGGACAGGGTGGGAGGAAGGAGCTGACACTTGTACCTTCACTCTCCTCTGAACAGGCTAAATGAGGGAAGAATACACACACACACACACACACACACACACACACATACATACACACACACGGAGTTGGACACAGAAATAACTTTCACTCAACAAGGACAGAGGAAGTAAAGGTAAAGAGGGGGAATTAGAAAGAAGGTATATTAAGAGAAGGATGAGTCTTAAGCAAAACAAATTCTAATTAATGTACAAAAATATTTATAGCTCTTTTTGATGTGGCCAAGAGTGGGAAACCAAAGTAGTGTCTATAAATTGGGAAACTGCTGAGTAAGTTATAGTATATAAATGTGATGGAATACTATTATAGTCTAAGAAATGATGAACAGAATGGTTTTAGAGAAACCTGAGAAGACTTATATGAACTGATACAGAATGAACTAGGAGAATAATTTATATAATGACAACAATATGGTAAAAAACAAGCAACTGAAAAAAAAATTAGGGACTCTGATCAGTGTAGCAACCAACCATGGTTCCAGAGATCTAATAAGGAAATATGATACCTGCATTCTAATGAAGGTGAAGGACTCAGAGTGCAGAATGAGACATATTTGGGGGAGAGGAGGTAGGAGGGACATGGCCAATGTAGAAATTCGTTTTGCCTAACTCACACATTTATAACAGGAATTTTGTTTTTCTGTCATTCTTAATTAGAGAGGATTGGGTTGTGGGGGGCAGGTGAGTGTGGAGAGAAGGAAGACTCTTGCTGATTGAAATATACATATGTATAAACATATACATATATACATATATATTTTTTAAAAATCAATGAAATGGATGAGTAATTACAAAAATAAAAATTTCCCAGATTAATAGAAAAGGAAATTGACTACTTAAATAACTTTATCTTACAAAAAGAAATTAAACAATCCATATATGAACTCCCAAAGAGATTAATAATTGAATTCTAACAAATATTTAAAGAACAATTAATTCCATTACTTTATAAACTATTTTAAAAGAATAAGAAAAGAAGGAGTCCAAATAAATTCCTCTATAAAATAAATATAGTCTTGATACCTAAACTGGAGAGAGTCAAAACAGAGAAAGAAAACTATAGACTGGTATCTCTAATGAATATAGATGCAAAAATTTTAAATTAAATAGTAGCAAGGACACTATAGAAGCATACACTATGATCAGGATGAATTTATACCAGGAATGCAGAGCTGGTTCAACATTAGGAAAATTATAAATCTAATTGGCCACATTAATAACAAAAACAACAAAAATCATATGATTTTATCAATAGATGCAACAGAGTTAATTTAAGTCAACATATAATAGATGGGATTAGAGTTCTGATAAGTCTTCTCCACACCTTAACATTTGCTTTTTAAGTGTGTCACTGAGATTTTGGGGAAGTGCATCAATCTTTTTAGGCAGCAAATCTAAAACTGTAATTAAGGTAAGGTATACTATAATACTAGAAGGTATATCCTGATGCTATGTAAGGTGAATTAGTTTGTCTCCCTCACATCAGTAGAGAGGTGTTAAACTACAAATGTGGAATGAGACTGTCACACATGGCCAATGTATTGATTTGCTTTACTTAATTGTATTTTTTTTTTGCTTAGGCAATGGGGTTAAGTGACTTGCCCAGGGTCACACAGCTAGTGTTACGTGTCCGAGGCCAGATTTGAACTCAGGTCCTCCTGAATCCAGGGCTGGTGCTCTATCCACTGTGCCACCTAGCTGCCCTCGTATTCTTTTTTTTTTAAAGAGAGAGTTCTATGGGGAGGGGTGATTGGTAATCATTGGGAAATGATAGCAATTTTTTTAAGCATTAAGAAAATGTTTATCTTTTAAAAAGAAGATGGATCGTCAAGATCAGGGAACAGTTAATAATCCAGTGTGGCTCAAATGTAGAGTGCATTAAGAGTAGTATGAAATATGGCTGGAGAAGTACATTAAGAGGATTAGTATAAAATAAGGTTGGAGCCAGATTCTGGGGGACTTAAATGCGAGGCAAAGGAGTATGTATTTCAGGCCTGTACAACATCTAGCCCACGAGCTGCTTGCGGCCCACCAAAGGATTTCAGGTGGCCCTCGAAAAATGTAGAGAATGTAAAAGAAAGTAAAGATGTAACGATGTTTTGTCCATGCCCCGATTAACCTGCCCTCTACTAGTCACTATTGTGCCCATCATGTAACTTGGTGGGTGGATTGCCACTACACATGCTCTCCTGTTTGTCACATGATGCACAGCAATTAACCATCATCACTTTGTCTCCAGTCTAAGAGAAGCAAGAGTCATATTTTTTGATAAGTCTTCAGTCATTAGTGGCATTGAACAGGGAGAAAGTGAATGCAACCGCACACCAACGCAGGAGACACTCACTATGTGATGAGCAGCAACAATGCTAGGACTTTTTTTCTGTATTTATTTATTATTTAATTTTTCCCCAGTTGCAGGTAAAAACAAATTTTTTAACATTTGTTTTTAAAATTTTGAGTTCCAAATTCTTTCCCTCCCACTCCCCATCCCACATTGAGAAGGCAAGCAATTCAATATAGGTTATACATGCATAGACATGCAAAACATAATAGTCATGTTTTGAAAGAAAACATAGACAAAAAAAACCTCAAGAAAAATAAAGTTAAAAAAAAAGTATGCTTCAATCTGTATTCAGACACCATCAGTTCTTTCTCTGGGGATGGATAACATTTTCATCCTAAGTCCTTCAGAGTTGTCTTGGATCATTGTATCGCTGAGAATAACTAAGTCCTTCACAGCTGATCATCTTACAATATTGCTGTTACTTTGTACCCAATACATTTCATTTTGCATCAACCCATGCAAGTCTTTCCAGGTTTTTCTGAGAGCATCCTGCTCATCATTTCTTACAGTACAATAGTATTCCATCATAATCATATACCATAACTTGTTCAATCATTCCCTAATTGATGGGCATCCCTTCAATTTCTAATCCTTTACCCCTAGAAAGGAGCTGCTATAAATATTTTTGCAAATATAGCTCCTTTTCCTTTTTATTTTTTTAAATCTCTTTTGGGATACAGACCTAGTAGTGGTATTGCTATGTCAAAAGATATGCATGGTTTTATACTCCTTTGGGCATAGTTCCAAATTGCTCTACAGAATGGTTGAAGAATGGGTAGGATGAAGAAATACTGTAGTATTCTACCCTCCTACCAGGGACCTAGAGATTGAGGATCCCACGTAGCAAGGAGAAGTTGTGTTGTTCATCCTTCAGTTTGGAAGAGGACCAGTGACCTCATGGATGATGTCTTGACTCGCACGTGAATTGGATTTAAGTGAAGCAGAGTTGTATAAAGTCAGCAGCCTCACTCTCTTTCCAGAGTCATTGAAGTCCAACGGCAGGACAAAAGTCAAGATGTCTGGCAATGGCCTGGGACGCAGTGTCTTCCTTGGTGTCTTTACTGTCTGACCAAGTTCTAAATGCTCCACAGCACCTGCTTCAGCTGCCTTCATGGCCATTGCAACACATTATTCTCATCTGCCCACTCCATCTGGAAAAGTCTTCACAAGCTTGGGAGTAAGGAAAAGTAGTGTTAGCTTAAAATCTAAAGGTGGCATCTGTGAGCTGAGACGTGAGTTGAGTGATGAAAAAGAAACAGTAAGGTTATGGAATATATCCTTGGGCATCACAAATCAGTTTCACTTTTTTAAACATTCAAAAGGGGAGCATCTGATGGACTGGTGGAGAGGCAGCATCGTACCATAGGGAGAATGTTGGATTCTGCAGCACAGTGGTGAAAGGTTAGGTGCTGGACCTTGAGTTTGAAAGACCTGAATTCAAATACTGCTTAATCTAGCTGTTTGACTTGGTCAAGTTATTTAATGTCCCTAATCTTCAGTTTCCATATCTGCAAAATGGGAGTAATAATAGTAGCAACAACAATAATAATATCTACTTCACAAAGTTTTTGTGAGGATCAAATGATATATGAAAAACACTTTGCAAAACTTAATGTGCTAGGTAAATTTTAGCGATTAGTATTATTATTATTATGAGTCAGAAGACCTGGGTTTAAATCCTGGCTCTGCTACTTACTACATGGGTAACCTTGGTAACTATATAGCCTTAATTAACTAACACTATTTTAAAAGTCTGTCCTGGAATCTATTTGCCTAACCAGAACTTCTTTTTAGCTTAGATCTGGAGTTTGTTTCATGGTGTTTTTGTCTTATTTTATCATCAGTTTATTGAAATGGCAGCTGTAGCAGCATAGTGGAGAGACAGTTGCCCTCAGTGCCAGGAAAACCTGGATCCAAGCATGGATCTGACACAGACTAGCTACAGAACTCTCTGTAAATCACTCAACATCTGGGTGCTCTGGGCAGTTCCCTAAATTGCAGAGAAGTTGCTAACCTGCATTGGTAAGGAGAGTTTCCTCAGCTTAGAATTCCCTTTAATCAATTAAACCACAGGTCCATTTCTAGTCCCTATCCCCATCAGCTTGTTGAAGGCTAATTACAGTCTGTTGGGAGAAAATGCTAAAGGCAGTAGAGAACTTAGAAAACAAATGAGATAGAAATAATTTCCTGCCCTTGACCATTAGTTTCCCCACAACCGAGTCCCTAATAATTGCTGAATTCCCCCACGGCTATTATACACATACCTGGACATCTACCTACTGCTTGCTACATTGTTGTTGTTTGTCCTTCTTTCTCGAAGAGGACCATGACATCAGGAAGATGATGCCATGACTTGCAAATTAATTGGGTTTAAGTGAGGGAAGGCTGTGCACTGTCACCAGCCTCACTTTCTCCTCCACAGCCATCTGAGTCCAGTGGCAAAGTATAGGTCAGGATGACTGGAGATGGCCCAAGATAAAGTGGGAGACCTTGGCCTTTTTAAGTTAAGGTCTTTCCCAGGTCTCACTTTGACTGAGGCAACACCCATTCAGTGATTAAGGCTAGTTAAGAAGTGAGTCAAGGAATGGCCCCTTTTATCTATTAAAAAAAAAATCAATCCTGGAAGGAAAGACCCTCAGGGTTTCTGACCAAAATAGAAGAAAATTACTATTTACATTCACTCTGAGCCATCAAGGCCCAAACAATGACCACTAAGTGGTACTTGGGCTGGGACCTATAGTTGGCCTGGGGGGGCCAACTCCAGTCATCCTGATCCAGATGGCTCAAGAGGAGAAAGTGAGGCTGCTCTCCCTCACTTAAATCCAATTCACTTGTAAGTCCTGGCATCATCTTCCTGTTGTCAAGGTCCTCTTCAAAAGTGAATGACAAACAACAACAACAAACAATTGTTGGCCATTCAATGACAGTCAGAGTGAATTGGGTTTAAGGCATGGTCTTTAAGAAAGATATCTAGCTAGTAAATACCAACATATCTTGCTAGGTTTCAGCCATCAAAATTTACATTCCTTTGAGCAGAGTGCTGGCATGTAAGGGCATGACACCATATGTGGATAGGGGGAGAGCAAAGGGAAAGGAAGGGAAAGAGAAGAGAAGAGAAGAGAAGAGAAGAGAAGAGAAGAGAAGAGAAGAGAAGAGAAGAGAAGAGAAGAGAAGAGAAGAGAAGAGAAGAGAAGAGAAGAGAAGAGAAGAGAAGAGAAGAGAAGAGAAGAGAAGAGAAGAGAAGAGAAGAGAAGAGGAGAGAAGAGAAGAGAAGAGAAAAGGAGAAGGGGTTGAGGAAAGGAAGGAGCTGAGTTGCCCAACTTAGAACTGACCGGTTGGGTTCCTAGTGGAGCAGCTTGGACTACTTACAGGTTGTTTGTTTGTCCTTCATTCTCCAAGAGGACCATGACATCAGGAAGATGATGCCATGATTTACAAATGGATTTAAGTGAGGGAGGGCTGTGCAGGGTCATCAGCCTCACTTTCTCCTCTCAAGCCATCTGGGTCCAGTGGCAAGACATAGATCAAGATGACTGGAAATGGCCCCAGCTTGCTACATAACACTCTGCCAAATACCAAATACTCTGCCCAGCCCTGCCCAGAAAAATAACTTGGTTAGCATAGATCTTAGGTTCAGTTTGAGCCTTCTGTTAATAGCAATCATATCCAGAGCAGTCAGAACATCCACAACATTTATCAATTAAGGTCACCATCTTATATGGGTGTGGTTCATGGTGACCACAAACAGTTTACAATTACAGTTAAAGAGTTACAATAGTAACAACAAAGATCATTAATCACAGATCACCATAATATATAATAATTATGAAAAATTTTGAAATACCGAAAGAATTACCAAAATGTGACACAAAGATAAAACATGAGCACATACTGTTGGGAAAACGGTGCTGATAAACCTGCTTGATGCAGGGTAGCAAATTTGCAAAAATATAACATATGAAACATGCAATAAAATGAGGTATGCTATATGTTACATTATATAACCATAGTCTACCACCTCTGCAAAAAAGCAAGGGAAGTGTTTTTTCAATTAAAGCACTTATTTTCTTAGTTCTGCCTACTTATAAGCTTGAACCCACAGTGAGATTTCTGTCCCCTAGAATAACTCACTCTTTGCTCCCATGTTCAGTTCCCCAGCCTTCACTGACCCTCGGGTTCTGCCTGATCTACCATTCTCCTTCCTTCCCTAGTCTAGACTATTCTGCAACAGCTGAAGCCCCAATTATGGCTTATGTTCTCATGGAGGGTCAATTCTTAGTCCTAGGAATTAAAAGATAAAGCCTTCTGTTTTGCAATAAACACTATGAGGCTTTTTTCTACAATCACAATTTTCCAGAGTGATTATTCTACATCTTTCCCTGGGGATGTACTTCTCACTCTTTAATTAATCCATCTAATTAAACTCACACAGACCTAAACTCAAATCCATCTTCAGACATGTACTAGTTGTGTGACCCTGAGCAAGTCATCTAACCTATGTCTGCCTCAGTTTCCTCAACTGTAAATGGGGGATAATAATAGCACCTACCTCAGGGTTGTTGTAAAGATCAAATGAGATATTTGTAAAGCATTTAGGACAGTGTGTCTTAATAAATGCTTACTCCCTTCCCCTTAATCATCATTCCCCTCAATCAATAATCTACTTAACCAGTTGACATGGCCAAAGTGGGACTTTCCATAGGATCCACCTTCTTTGTTCTATGGCACCCCTCACCCCAAGCAGATGCCTCAAAGATACATACCTAGATCCTTGTGCCTCAGAGCTGAATAACTATCTGAACTGGGGGGTAAGGTTATAAATACAGGCTATAGAGCTGCCAAAAACTATAGGAAATAACTTTATATAAATCTTTAAAATCTTGTAATCCATCATTAGTATTATCATCAACAAATAATATTTATCAAGTGGCCAAAGAGCTTATTGCACATAAGAGCTAGAAGAACTGGACATGTCAGCTATATGGATCTCAAGCATAAAAAAGGATCTGGCTTGACTCCAAAATGACTACTTTATTCATGATCTGGCATTTTTTCATTCCATTGTCTTTGTTATGCCTAGATTGAGCATTTAATTTAAATCCATTAGTTCCTTTTTCAGGTTTTACACAGAAGAATAATTGCTCCATTCTAGTCTGAAATTAATTATTGATATTTAAGACTACTGTTAGATGCTTGACTGATTCACTTATTTTTTTGAATAATAGAACTGAATGGAAAAGGGCACAAGATGGGGCAAATATAATTTCCTGGTAAATTCATCTTTCCCACCACTCTCAAATTAATCTTTCTAAAACATGTCATTGTGTTACTTCCTTCTCCCCAAATCTCTCCCAATTTAATTTTCCCCCTGGTGTCCATAAGACAGGGGTCTATGGCATGGTATAGTCAATGAAGTCACAATCAAATAGAAATATGGGGCAACTAATCAGTACATAAGGATCCCTGCTGGCCACATGTTGGGTTACTTTTTAAATGTAATTTTTTTAATTAAAAAATTTTAAATTTTAATTTACATTGTTATTTGTTTAATCTGGTGTGTTTGTCACCTCTGGTGTAGTGGGAAAAACACTAGACTGGGAATCAGGAGAACTGGGTTCTGCTCCTAAATTTGTTATAATTAGCTAGTTGAATAGGTAGCTAGGTGACCCAATGGATAGAGTGCCAGGCTGGGAGTCAGGAAGACATCTTCCGGAGTTCAAGTCTGGCCTCAGCACTTAGTAACACTACCTGTGTGACACTGGGAAAGTCACTTAACCCTGTTTGCCTCTGTTTCCTCATCTGTAAAATGAGCTGGAAAAGGAAATGGCAAACCACTCCATTATCTTTGAAAAAAAAAACCACTACCACCACCAACAACCAACATTTAAAAAAAAATGGAGTCACGAAAAGTTAGACATGACTGAAAATACAAGTGAACAAATTAGAATAAAAACCCAGCTAGTTGAGTAATTAATCTTGGTCAGGTCACTTTACACTTCTGGACCTCATTTTCCCCATCTGTAAAAAAGAGGGATTTGTACTAAGTGACCTTAGAGCAAGAGTCTTACCTCCCACCCTTCCAGTTGGGCTAACAGACTCCATCTACTTATCATATGGTGGCTGCTTGGATACAGGAAACCAGTGTTCACCCTCTGTTTGTGGAGGACTCA